GGAGGTCCTTTAATGCTAGACTAAACAGTGTCTACTTTAGAGGCAATGTGGTACAATGAAATGGATGCTAGACCCTGAGTTAGGAGAAACATAGATTCAAATCTTACCTCCAATACTTACGCTCAGGGTATAATTTTTCTCAGTGCTTCCATTTCTTCATCCCCAAAATGAGGACAATTCCTGTCCTAGCTCTGTTTTAGAATTATAAGCAGCAAATGAGATAATATAAAACTTTACAAACCCTTAAAATTTTAAAAAAGAATTCCTGCTTTAGAGAGAGAAAAATTTTTTTTTTGAAAAAAATTTTTTTAAGGCATTTGGAATTAAGTGACTTGCCCAGGGTCACACAGCTAGTAAGTGTCAAGTGTTTGATCTGAGGCTGCATTTGAACTCAGGTCCTCCTGACTTCAGGACGGGTGCTCTGTTCACTGCGCCACCTAGCTGCCCTGAAAGAGAGAAAATTATTGACAAAATAGATTCTGTTCTCAAGTAGGCATTACATAGAAACTCTCATGCCATATGCTCATTTTCTCATGTGAAAATCGTTAATTGATATTAATAACATTGCATAGAACATAAGAGACTACATGGAGTCATGGAGAGAGAGAGAGAGAGCCTTGGAGTCAGGAAGACCTGAGTTCAAGTCCAGCTTCTGACACATGACAACTGTGTGAACCTGGGCAATTCCCTTAATATCTCAGTACCTCAGGCAGCATTCTAAGATCATCAACTATAGAGAAGATGCTGATCTACATTGGTAGAGCAAGTTTATTTTTCTGAAGTTTCCTGGTTCTATACCCATTACCATATATTTTATTGCTGTGTGTCATTGATGAGTGTATACTCATATCTAAAGAAAGATGTTCAGTACTCCCCCATAACATTTTTGTAGTATATTCCTAGATCTATATCAGTTTCACTTTTGCAACATCTCTCCAATATGTCCCTTCTGTCTTCTGTTAACTGCCACCCTTATCATCTCATACTGGACTATTGCAATAGCCCTGCCTTAAATTTTTCCCCTCTCCAGTCCATCCTCCATTCAGCTACCAAAGTGATTTTCTTAAAGCACAAGTCAGACTATGTCATCTTGTACTCATTTTTTAAAATTTATTTTTGGTTACATCTTAAGTTCCAAATTGTCTCTCTCCCTCCCTTCCCACCCCACACTAGAAAAGGCCGCCATTTGACACAAATTTGTAAATATATGTAAAACCATACTATGCATATTTCTATTTATCAGTTCTTTCTTTGGAGGTGGATAGCATCTCCCTTTATAGGTCCTTTATAGTTGATTTGAGTATTTATGGTACTCAGGATATCTTAGTTGTTCACAATTATTCTTTGAACAGTATTACTATTACTGTATACAGCATTCACTTGGTTCTACTCACTTCACTTTTCATTATTTCTTGCAAGTCTTTCCATGTTTTTCTAAAATCAACCAATTCATCATTTCTTACAGCTCAGTAATATCCTAGCACAATCATATACCACAACTTGTTTAGCCATTCCCCAATTGATGGGCATCCCCTCAGTTTCCACTTCTTTGCCATCACAATGAGAGCTGCTGTAAATATTTTAGAACATAGAGGTTCTTTTTCTTTTTACCTGATCACCTTGGGAAACAGACCTAATAATGATATTGCTGGGTCAAAGGGCATAATACAAAATTTTATAACTCTTTGAGCATAATTATAGATTGCTGTCCAAAATGATTGGATCAGTTCACAATTCCACCAATAGTGTATTAATGTCCCAATTTTTCTACATCCTCTGCAACATTCGGCATTTCCCCCTTCTTTCAATTTTAGCAAATCAGAGAGGAGTGAGATGACATATCAAAGTTGCTTCATTTGCATTTCTCTAATCAGTACTGATTTAGAGCATTTTTTCATATGACTGTGTATAGTTTTGATTTCGTCATCCTAGAACTGCCTGTTCATATCCTTTGACCATTTATCAATTGGGCAATTACTTATATTCTTATAAATTTGGCAAAATCCTCTATATATTTGAGAAATGAGTGTCTTTATCTGAGAAACTTTCTATAAAAACTTTCCCCCAGTTTTCTGTTTTTCTTTTAGTCATTGGTTTTATTTGTACAAAAACATTCTAATGTAAAAAAAATTTATCCATTTTGCATTTCATAATGCTCTCTAATCTCTTGCTTATTCATTAATTCTCCTTTTTCATACCTTTTCATAGGTAATATGTTTCATGTTCTTATTTACTTATGATATCTCCCTTTATATCAAGGACATGTATTCATTGTGACTTTATCTTGGTAAAATATTGTAAGATATTGGTCTCCACCCAGTTTCTGCCAGATTGCTTTCCAGTTTTCCCCATAAGTTTTTACCAAATAGTGAATTTTTATCTCAAAAGCTTAAATCTTCGCATTTGTCAGATACAAGGTTACTATAATCATTTACTACTGTGTATCGTATATCTACTCTATTCCACTGGTCCACTTTTCTGTTTCTTCACCAGTACCGGTTAGTTTTTATAATTACTGCCTTATAATATAGTGTAAGATCTGATACTACTAAATTTCCTCCCTTTACATTTTTCTTTCATTAATTCCTTTGATATTCTTGACATTTTGGTCTTCCAAATGAATTTTATATTATTTTCTCTAACTCAGTAAAATAATTTTTGGTGGTTTAATTGGGATGTCATTGAATAAGTAGATTAGTTTAGGTAGAATTGTTGTTTTTATTATATTGACTCCGCCCACCCATGAACAATGAATATTTCTCCAATTATTTAAGTCTGACTTCATTTGTATAAAAAGTGTTTTATAATTATGTTCATGTAGTTCTTGGGTTTGTCTTGGCAGGTGTACTCCCAGATATTTTATGCTATCTATGGTTATCTTAAATGCAAGTATCTCTTACTCTCTATTCTTGTAGGGTTTTGTTGGTGATACATAGAAATATTAACAATTTATATTGATTTATTTTATATCCTGCTACTTTGCAAATATTATTAATTGTTTCAACTGGCTTTTTTTTTTAGTTGAATTGCCAGATTTTCCAAGTATATTATCATATTGTCTGCAAAAAGAAATAGTTTTATTACCTCAATGTCCATGTTTTACTCCTGATCTTATTGGGAAGGCCTCTAGCTTATCCCATTACAGATAGTGCTTGCTAATAGTTTTAGGTAGATGCTTCTTATCATTTTAAGGGAAAATCCACTTATATCTATGTTTTTGAGTGTTTTTAATAAGAATGAGAGTTATAGTTTGTCAGATGCTTTTTCTACATCTATTGATATAATCAGATAATTTTTGTTACTTTTGTTTTTCATGTAATCAGTTAGGTTAATAGTTTTCCATATGTTAAACCATCCCTGCATTCCTGATATAAATCCTACTTGGTCACCATGTATAATCTTTATGATATATTCTTGTAGTCTCATGGCTAGTATTTTATTTAGAATTTTTGCATCCATATTCATTAATGAAATTGACCCCTACTTATTCAATTCCAGTCTCCCCCATTACCTCCAGAATCAAATACAAAATCTTCCAGTTGATATTCAGAGCCTTTCATAACCTAGCCCTCACCTACTTTTTCTGCCTTCTTACACCTGACATCCCACCACTTAGCCTCTGCTGTTATTTAAATAAGAAATTCCTTCTCATGACTGGGCATTTTGTTTGTCTGCTGCCTTCTTTGGCATCTTTCGAATCCCAACTAAAATCCCATAGGAAGCCTTTCCCCATTGTTCAGTCATTTTTTCAGTCATGTCCAACTTTTCATGACATCATTTGGGGTTTTCTTGGCAGAGATACTGGAGGGGTTTGCCATTTCCTTCTCCAGCTCATTTTACAAATGAAGAAACTGAAGCAAACAGGGTTAAGTGGCTTGCCCGGGGTCACACAGCTAGTAATTGTATAAGACCAGATTTGAACTCAGGAAGATAAGTCTGCCTGACTCCAGGCCAGGCACTCTATATACTACACCACCTAGCTGCCCATGCCTTTCCTAACCCTTTTTGATTCTAATGACTTCCCTCTTTTAATTATTTCCCTTTTATCCTATATATAGCTTTTGTATACAGCACATACCACAGTGCCTGACGCTTAGTAGGTGCTTAATAAATGTTGATTGATTGACTGTTCTCTCCCTCCTCAGACTTTCCAAAAGCATTTTGTATACTTTGTGTCTTTCTTTGCCTAATCATACCTTTATTTTGTCTGTGTACATGTTATCTCCCTATTATTCCTCTTCACTAGTAGAATATAAGCCCCTAGAGGGGTGGGATTGTGCAATTGTTTATCTCTTTCTTTAGCACTTTATAAAGTGCTTTGTGCTAAGGAAGGGCAGAAACAAAATTCAAATTAAGCCTCCTGGTGACTAAGAGAACTCTGGGTAAGTACTATGAACCTCAGATCTAATGCTCTGAATTGCAACAGGGATTATGCAATAAAATTTTTGTATTAAATATCTCTGGTAAAACTGAGTTCCAAGATACAGAAAGAATTAGCACAGATACCATTATCCCCAGTGAATAAGTGATCAAGGGGTATGAACAAACAATTCTTAGAAAAAGAATTACATATTGTCAATAACTATGTGAAACATTGATGCAAATCACTACTAGTAAGAGTAGTACAAGTCAGACAACTCTGAATTTTTATCTGATGCCTGGCAAATTGGCAAAGATTACAAAGATCAAATAGTAAATTTGGATAGGCTGCAGTAAGATGAACACACTAATACATTATTGGTGGATCTGTGAATTGGTTTAACTATTCTGCAAGGTGGTTTGGAATTATGCTAGCAAAGGGGTTGATTAAAATGCCTATGCCTTTTACTACATGGTAGGTTCTCACTAAATGTTTATTATTTTTATTTGTATTAAAGGAGAAGAATCACAGGTTTCGAGGAGAGTAAATGAAATAAAATTGTGTTTACTCATTCTTTCTCAGGTAGGGAAGAATATACATATAACATTTTTTTCTTCTCTTTTTTGCCCTTTCTATGAAGTATGTGCTGAATCTTTCAATCCAGATGATGAAGATGATACAGAGCCAAAGGTAAGAAAGTACAAGTTTCCTTCAGTTAAGTCTGTTGTTTGGTGAGGTTGGTTATTGAGATTTATTTCTCTTCAAATAAACTAATAAAATGTGTTTCTATCTAATTTAAAGAAAAATTAAACAGTCTGTGATATACACATTGAAATTAATAGCCTTTGAAAGATTTCTGCCATGTTCTAATATTGAAATTCCATTTATTGTATAAAATAATAAAATATCCGTTTTTGTAACATGCATTGCAAAATTCGTGATCAGTTTTTTCCTAAAGATGTTTTTGGGTCATTTGATAAAACAAAAGTAATTTTGAAGTACTTTTCTCATTTTTGTCTGACATAGGTTTTATGGTATTTGTTATTAGATCAACTGATGTCCTCTGTTTTTCCTTCGTAGAAAAACTACTTAGATTTTTAGCTAAGTAGATCTAACTTATGATCTGTGACTACTATTGATTTGACTTGAAGCACTGAATAGATTTAGATCCCTCTTTTTTTTCCTCTTTTAAGAGGAAAGAAATATATCATAATATTCTTGATCTGATGATATAATCTTTCATTCTCTCTTAAGAAAAAAGAAAATTTTAAAAACGAAAAGAAAAGAACATTTTATTGTATTTATTTTGTAGGTGGTTCATCCCAAGTCTGATGAACAAAGATCCAGACTTCAGGAAGCTTGCAAAGATATCCTTCTCTTCAAAAATCTTGATCAGGTAATAGCGATACTAAAAGCATCTGTATGATAGTACTCAATCAGTTTCTTTGCTATTTATTATATAAATAGATTTAACTGCCACAGACAGACCAGCAGTTAGAGATTTCAGACACATTTTACTTAGGAACACTTTTCTGATTGGAAGCAGCCCAGAACTGGAGAATAAGCAATGGCTTTTTAGTCAGAAGACCTGGCTTAAAATCCCGCATGTGGTGCTTACTAACTGTGTGACCGGGGTCAAGGGGCATTCAGCCTCCCTGGACCTTCATTTCCTCATCTATTAAACAAGGAGTTTGCACTAGATGATCCCCAAAGTTCTTCCAAGCACTAGATCAGTCATCTATGATCTTCGTATGATTACTTTATTAAACAATTCAGAATTGTTTTCATGTTTTTCACAGAATATAGAATTTTTCTTTCAACATTTAACATGGACATTGCTTAGTACTTCTCTTATACCCCCTCTAGCCTACCCTCTTCCTATAAATAACAAATCAAATTGAATTTCACTTGAAAATCATTTGATTGATCAAATTTGCAAGTTAACAGTCAGCTGATATATTAACCAAAATCTTAGAATGAATAGAGTGTTACATCTTGTGTCTACTCTATACTAGATAGCCAGTCATGAGACAGTAAAGGGTTTAGTCCCTGAAAAGTGGCACTTCTAAAGGATAGGCTCTTCTTCTGAAGTCTGACAATACAGATAAAAGATAGCTTCTCTGCTTATCACCTGTGGACCCCAGACATACATCCCCATTCTGTAAACAGACCTGTTTGGGTTCCATTTTTTCTGTAAATCCTAATGCTTTGGTGGTCGGGTACTAGAATGAATTCTTTTTTTGATTTTCTACTAAATTATAAGTTCCTTGAGGATAAGAACTATGTGTTAATTATTTTTTTAATCTCCTCCATTGGCAGAATTTGGATTAGTGGGATTAGTCTTTGTATTAGCAGTACAAGAATGGATTTTAGACAGTTTCAGTCAGTTTTAGAAAAAAAGATTTGAGAGTTTTTGAAGAGGAGTAGGTGCAGAAGAAATTGGCCTCACTTCTTAGCTACCATTTTGTAAGATTCTTATGTGTGAAAAGTAGCCATAACAACTTGGAATATCTCATCAGAAGTGTCAAGGTGTATTCAAAAATGTACACCTGTAGTATTCTTTATTAAGAAGTTATCATCTTAAACATTGCAGTAGCTAATTTCTCTTTGGCTAATGTGCCATATATAATCAGTGCATAATAAAATTTTGCAAAATGAATGAGAAAAAAATAAAATGAATAAGAAAATTGATGCTTGGAAAGATTAAGTGACTTACCTATGGTCACGTATCTAGCTGGGATTTAAAGCAAGATATTCCAATTCCCGATATTGAACTCTTTCTTCTTTGTCAAGATGAATTCTGGTAAATCAATGGATAGATGAATGAGTGGTTTTCATAGTTTTGATCTGTTTCAGAGCTGCCATGAGACCTAACTCTGGGCCCCATTACAAGGCACCATCTGGTAGGATTGGTGAAGCAGAGATACTTCCCTATAATGTGTAAGCTTGCTGTATCTCTGTATCCTAGAAAATCTGCTGAACCAGGGTCAAAAATTATCCATGCATTACCCAAGGGAATGCAGCAGGGAAGAGGATCCCCATTGCAATCCAGACCATTAGATATGGAGTTCATAGTACTTACCTAGAATCCTCTTAGTCACCAGAGGGCTATATTGGAACATTTATATAGTCTTTGCCTCTAATCATTGAGCATAAATAAGACCATGTCTCTCTTCTCATATAAGTAAAGGATATTAAACATGAAAGAATTTCCTGGCACAAAGAAGTCAAATATGGTGGTTTAGAGTAAAAATTAATAGCTAAAAGGCTGTTACTCTTGCCAGATATAGTTATATACCAAAGGCCAAGCAGTGCATATCATGGAAGAACAAACTCTTCTTTTATGTGACATTTAATATCTACTGTTTTTTCTAACATCATGGAATAGAAAAAAAAATTTCTGCAAAGCCAATTAGCATTAAAACTCATCTTAATTTTGGAAGCTATGATTTTGCTTTCATGTTTAAGATGGTAATTCTACATTTTGGATAAAAAGTTAGTCATTATTTGGATCATCTGAATGTCTGAGGTGCTTTGATAACGTGGGAAATATGAGGATGATAGTTGGATTTATAGTTAGACATAATATCTGTGAAGTAACTTGATGTAGTAACCACCCTACTGGGTTCCAGATACTGACACATTTTTAAAAAATCCATAAGAAAGTATATGTCTTAAATTTAAAGGTCATTTTTATCATGTAGCAAAGATTGTGATGTATATGACATGTCAAAGACTACCTTCAGTTTGATAACCTGTGCCAGCCCTATGTGGAAGAGAAAGTTAAAGTGAGAAAAAGACCTCGTAAAATTGTGTCATTATCTCCAGTTACGATAGTGCCTACTAAATATTATTATTCACAGTATAAATTAGTATGCAGTGTAATGAGTAGTTAATGCATTACACTTATTTCAACACTGGGTTCTGGCTTTCATGAATTTCAGTTTAATGTCACTCCAAAGTAAACAAAGTACTTGAAAGCATGTAGAATAGATAATTACAGGCGAATAATTGTAAGAGAATAATTATTGTAGAAAGAGAGTTTATCATTGTCATGAATTTCCAAAATAGAAAATAATCAATAAATATTAAATGTTTATTAGCTAGAAGCCTGGATCCAGGAACAACATCTTTGTATATATGCATAGGAGCTGGATTTTCAAGTCACTTATACAATATTCTTATTTACCAAAAAAGTCCTTCAGAAATAATTATCTCCTGTCAAGAGACAGAAAGGAGATAGTCATATACTTACAACCAGCCTAGAGGTATCCAAAGAAGAGATAGTAATTTTTTCAGCCTTTCAGTAAGCTTATGCAGTTATGGGAGCAAAAGACCTGACATGGGGATGTATCTGTAATGGGAGGTAGGTCATGGCCTAGAAAGAGTGACAAAAGTGTACCATTAAAGAATATTCCTAGACTTGGAGGGAGGGGGGTTGTGTTAGCCTGTTATGAGAGATGGTTCTCATAAAGGATTTTGTCTGGAAAGGAATAGACATCATAAAAGAATACCTTCTGTCAACCAGTGTCGTCTGAGGTCACCAGCCCCCAGAGTGACAGAGGGGATATAGATAGATATACTGACCTTAGGAGGGGAGAGTAGTAATAAAGGCTAAAAAAGTATTGGACCAGACCTTATGATTTGGGATGCATAGTAACTCCCACCATTTCCCTGCTTCCTTCATGAATTGATATTTCTAGGCATGATGCCCAGCAGAAGACCCCCCACCAAAAGCAAATAAATAAACAAACAAACAAATAAATAAAAGAAACAGGGGAAAAGGGTGATGAGGTAAGATGGGGTAAAATGGCCTAATGTAGAACAAAAATAAAAGAAGGATTTCCAGTTTGACCCTCCAGAAGCTCTACTTCATCAGGGACAGAGAAAGTATAAAGAAGAGACATGAATAGCTTATGAATGGAAGCATTGATTTCAGAATAAACTAGACAGGGATAGAAATAAGGAGGAGGACAGATTAAATGAATATTTCTTAAAGGATGCTGCAAAAGAAGGTGGATTTTTTTGATGAAAATTTACACACACACACACACACATTATATGGGCAAACATTTTTTAACTTTTGGTTTTTTTTTCTAAATTTTGAGTTCTAAATTCTCTCTCCACCCTCTTTCCTGATAGGGCAAACAATTAGATACAGATTATATATGTGAAGTCACTAAAGTCAATAAAGAATATTTATTAAGCTAAGAGGTTGGATGGGGAGGATTTTGACCCACATTCTTACTTAAGCAGGGAAAGGAAATGGTCAGAAGAGGCAAGGAACTAGAGAAACAAAATGAAAGAAATAAGGGAGTTAAGTAAATTCAAGAAGTTTGGGTTAGGTCATATAAACAGAAGTGATAAGAATAGACTAGCATCAGATTGGTATTACGAAAACTAATCACTGGCATGATGATGGCTTAGTAGAGGAAGGCAATTAAAAAAAATCATAAAAGAAACAAATGGTGACCACAAACTAAATAATCATAACTTTAAATGTGAATGGATTAAGTAATCTAATAAAATGAAAGAAACTAAGAACATTAGACCCAAAAATTTGTTATATGCAAGAAACAAATTTTAAAATAGGTACAGAATGAAAAATGATAATAATAGGGATACAGATTGGACCTTTGGTTTCATTAGTATTGGGACCTCCTAAGTGATGAAATGTCCTCTCCAATGAAGGTCTATGTCTTTTCTACAATAGTCTTAGAGATGCCTAGAATAGTGGATCAAATTCACGGAGAAATGGGGCCACTGAACCATACGTAAGAATCCCTGAGGGCAGCATATTAACTTAGAAAATCACATATTAGAATTATTTATGTTCTGTTGTATTGTTATTTTTTCTTTTCCAATTGCATTTTAATTTGCTTCAGGACCACTACTTCTGGCCTGGAACACAGAGAGTGATTAAGTGATTTGCCCATGGTCACACAGACATTACACGTCAGAGGCAGGTTTTGAACCCATATCTTCTTGGCTTCAAGCCTGGTTCTCTCTCTGTCTCTCTTATGTCCCTCTGCCTTTCACATAATACTATCTCAGAAGTCATTTGCAGACTTACTTATAATATGTGGTGCACAGGCATTCCAACAACTGATTGTAGTGTGCTCCCAATTTATGAGATACAATAGCCTCAAATTTCTTTTAGGTAATAGAAAAGTACATAGTTTAGAATCCACTGTAAAATGGCAACAAGAAAAGATATTACTAGTGCAACCACTGGAGATATCTCCAGATAGCTCCTGAGTAGACTACAAGTCTTATCATCATCAACAAGACGTTTTCTTTGTTCTTTGTTTATGTTGTAGGAGCAGTTGTCTGAGGTCCTTGACGCCATGTTTGAGAGGTCTGTGGTGTCTGAAGAACATGTCATTGACCAAGGGGATGATGGTGATAACTTTTATGTCATCGAACGGTAGGAAACTGAGCCTTGCAGGTTGTATAGTAACAAGATCCTTGATTCAAAGTACTTAGAGCGTCAGGGTAGCTAGGTGGCACAACGAATAGAGCTCTGGCTTTGGAGTCAGGAGGACCTGAGTTCAAATCCAGCTTCAGACACAACACTTACTAGCTGTGTGACCCTGGGCGAGTCACTTAACCCCGATTGCCTTGCCAAAAAGGAAAAAAAAATACTTAGAGTAATTGTGACCATGGAATAGCTCCCCAAGATACCTTCCAACAAAATACACCATGTTTATCTTCAGGGAGCTCTTAGAACCCCAGGGATTAAAGGATTTATTCTATTCACACCAAAACCTTGAGATAATATCCTGGCTCCATTGTCCTTTGTTGGTTTTTTATCTCTGTCGTAGCAAACCACTTAGAACCTCAGATCTCTTTTAGTAAAATAGAAGAATTAAGTAAATACATGCCATATAAGTCAGCTATAGGTATTCTTTTGTGACACATAATGACCTAGTATAGGCACAGCTTCAGCTCAGTCCTAAAGATGACATTTGCAGTTCTACCCTTTTTAAAAAAAACCAGTGTTAGGTAGACTAAACTTTCTTGAGGACATCAGGAACTTTCTGATAGCTCCAGCTCTGACCCCTTAGTTCTAGGTCAGTACTGTGTTTTTTGTAGTGACCTCAAACCCTCACCCTCCCGACAGCTAACTGACCTAGTCTTATGGATTCTAGAATCATCAGAACTTAAATGATATTGAAACCACCACCACCACTGCCACCACCCCAAACCTAATTCAAGTTCAACAAGACTTCTTTCCTCAATCTCTCTAGAAATGACCCCAAGTTATTTCCAGTTCTGTTTTCATCATCATCATTATCACAAAAACTCATAATATGTTAATGAAACATTGGACCCATCACCCTAAGGAATCTATAGAAAGATTAATACTCTCTCATCAGAGCACTTGATAAACAGGTTAAAAACTTACAAAAATACTTTTGGCATTTACAGACATTACTCACTGAGCAATAGCAGAATCCAATAAAAACTACACACCATTAGATTTGTCTAAAGTAACTTAAATTGGTTTACTAGGAAATGATGGTGATCCAGGAATGGAACCCAAATGTCCTCTGGGCAGTATCTATATGAACTCAGCTAACAATATGTTGACCAAGAAGCATCAAAGAAGTAGCTAAGTAATATAAATTTATTTATGAAAGCAGATATTTATGATAGCAATTTAGGGCCAGGTCATTACCACTAGAAATTACAGAAGGTTATCTTTTTGGAGTTTAGATTTAATTATCAGTCAAGGTTATGCAAGGACATGATAAGTATTGTTCAACACAATACTGCAGGCTATAAAATAAAATACATACTGAATAAAAGACATGACCTGGTGACTAGAATTATACATCAGAAGCTTTCATAGATTGACTGACAAATTCTTATACAATAATATAGATCTCAAAATGTCCTAGAGATCTCAGCTGATAAACTGTACCACACTATTATTTAAAATTGAACTATTGCCCACGATTACCTAGACTTTACATTGGTACATAAAACTTAAGAACGTTGTAGTAAATACTGCCATACCAAGTATTCATAGTGTCCAAGCCACATGGGATAAAAAGCTTTTGAAATGTAGAAGATGTAGCAGAATACCAAGTTATAGAAGAATGAGATACATTTCATCACCATCATTTTGTCTGCTATTCTAGTTATACTGAGGATGCTTTCTATGGGCATATAGAAAATGAACTTATGTTTTTCCATATCTGTAGAAAAGCAATTGTTTTACCCACCAGTGCAATAATTGTAGAAATTTAAATATAAACATGTAAATAGCAGAATAGTTAACTGTGGCAGGACCATTTCTTTCTTACTCTGTTAAACAAAATGAGATAATTTTTCTATTTCATGACATGTAGTAGGTGTTGATTTAGAGCAGTAGTAGAAAACTTGAATGCTATATTACTCAATTAAAGACAACAAAAAATTAACAGGAGAGAAATCCAGAAAACAAAAACATAATTCTAGATGCCCTTCATTAGCAACTGAAAGCAGAATTCAAAACGAATACAAAGAATTGAAGTAACACAGAAAACAAAATAAACAGTTCAGTCAGAAACTTTAGAATAAAGGTGTGAGTTCTGAAGGTACTTTTATTGAGTCTATAGAAGATGAACTTGCATTCTAAGGCTTTTATTCAGTTATTAAAAAGCAGTTATTTTTATTTGCCTGTATAGTAGTTCAGAGAGCATTAGATATTAAAGAGTAATAGGATAGGGCCTTTTCCTAGGACCTTTTCTATCTGAAGTCTATTGAAATAAAAGATTAGAAAAATGTAGTGGTGGTGCTAGTGGTGTTGACGGTGATGGTGGTGACAACCACCACCATCACCTCCTCAAAGCCCAAACTGTCTTCCATGTAGTAGCAGGGTAACAAGAAAATAAGGAAATGCCAGCCAGTGCAACTTACAGTGCAAATTTTGTGTATGCTCTAAGATCCCTATGGTATCTCTGAAGACCTGATAGGAACATTGAAATGTGGGCCAGTTGGACTCTAGCAATATCATTCATTTGTTCAGCACCCTGATCAGTGTAATGTAACTGCTCCTATGAATTTAGGATATAACGAGTGTATCATATGGTTTCAAACTGGCTGTACTCAGTGCCATCATGGTCAACTTGACACAAAAGGCAACAGAGTGAGTACCATTCCGTCATGTTCTAGTACCAAGCTGCACTGGGACAAATGAAAAGTCCCAATACTTTACCTGTTGTAAATGCTTCAGTATAGATAATGCTGATCATTAAGGAAGGTAAACTTACCATGAAATGGACTGAAGATATAAATGTTTTTATTATTGCCCAGTACTATATCAGTCAATCAGTCAATGAATTTTCAGATATTCAGATGTATCTGGGATCTCAGTGATGATGATTAGAACTCATCCATACCTGCCTATCCATCCTGCTTGATTCATACATTTTCCCAAAATTTGCCATTCAACATATTGGAGATCTCCTTCATTTTCTCCTGACATCATGAGTGTACCAGTGGATCACTTTGGCCATCCATCATACAGTTATTTGATTAACTTTTTTGATCTTGTTCTTCTTTGGAGTTCCTCATTGGTCATATGTTGCAACCTGCTCACATGCACTGTGTGTCTTTCCATTGCCCTCTGTGTGATACACACCCTTAGTTCTTAAGATGGAAGGATTTTCGAAGTTTTGCTGCCACCATACAGCAACACCAGTAAAATGTTTGTATTCAGGGGACAAGCTTTTGCTCTCATGTAAAGTTTGGGGTCAATAAAAGTGCTTTGCAGTTTCCTGAAAGCAATCCAGGCCACTCTCTTTTCCACCTTAATCCAAGATCATTGTTAGTCTCTATTGTCTGTCCCATATATCAGTCAGTCAGCAAGTATTTATTAAGTACCTTCTGTGTGCTTACTGTAGTAATGAAATGTTTGGTAAAAACAAACAATGGCAATCCCTCTAATGACTTTGAAAAGGAGAGAGATGTAAATAAAATGGAATTTTACAGAGCTGTTTTTGAATTTGGCTCCAATGTTATAACAAAACAGTAATTTTAAAAAACTGGTATCTTCTATAACCATCATGAACAAATGTGTTTTACCACTATATCTGACAAGAGTGTAGAAACGTTTCAGGACCTGCACACAGCACTTTATGATACCTACATTACTACAGGAGGACTAGAGGAAGAATGGTGGTGCTATTTAGGAATATTCCTGAGGAGAGGTGTCAAATCTCGTAATGGCAGAAGTGGCTTGAAGAAATTATTGAAGACTTGCAAAAAAAAAAGCATTGGAAGATTACATTTCTGTCTCTCAGTATGTCCAGTAGAAAAGTTCCATATTACCTGATTAAAGGCAAGGAAAAAGAAACATGGAGTGGAATCTGGAAAACAAAGTCTGTCAGAAATTCTTGATACAATGAAAACAACAATTGAAAGAGGAAAACAACAATTAAAAGAGAAAATCAAAAGGCTAAGATGTGATACAATAAATCTGAGTTACACAGAAAAGAAAATTGACAATTTGACTCATTCAAAAACTGTATTAATGAGTCTTGAGAAGCAGAGAATAAAGAAGACAGTACCTTTTCTGGTCATAAAGAAATCCACCGCAATAAAAGCATAGGTTGGATTAAATGTGAAACAAAGTTTTTAAACCATTAATATGAGGAATGATGGTTGCTAAAACGCTAGTTTGTCAGCAAATCTGGAAAGCAGTGGGTTCAAATAAGAACCATAATTACTGGTTCAGAAGCTTCACAGAAGCACAGAGCACTCTACCATATTCTTCTCTTGATAAAAGCCTGATCTCTTTCTTGAAGACTTTATATATTTCTATTAGTATAAGATGAGAACAGCAACAAACCCTCTAAATGTAGGCTAATTACATGTTTTTGTACTTTATATAAAGCATTCACAGTGTATCACTTTAAAAATCTATAAATACCTTCAAGAAAATAATGTGTTAGCTGAAGAGTAAAAAAAAAATGTTTGGGGACAGCTAGGTGGTGCAGTGGATAGAGCACTGGCCCTGGAGTCAGAAGGACCTGATTTCAAATCTGGTCTCAGATACATAACACTCACTAGCTGAGCAAGTCATTTAACCCCAGTTGCCTCACACACACAAAAAAAATGCTTGCCAAGAAATCCCAAGAGCATGAAAAACAATTCATTATCAACTTCGTGATAATTAAGAGAAGCCTTCTGAAAGCAACATAACATTTACATCACCTTTACTGATTATTAAAAAGTCTTTAACTCTGTTTTGCCCTTATGGCTTAGTATTATACTGCCAACATATAAAATAGATCCTGGCATAATGAGAACATTAGATTACTTGCATAGAAAACTGTTGTTGTTTTTTTTATTATACACTATCAGCACAGTAAAGTCAAGAACAGTTGATATAAAATGTATCACAAATGTATGGTTCTGCCTAATTATAAATGCATC